GGGAACAACACCTACCGAAAGGGATCGCGCGAGGATTACAGGAGATCATCCAGCTAAAAGCTCTTGGCTCAGTGCCTGGCACTCATCAAGCGCTGCCCTTGGTGTCAAAAGAATGTGTCAGAAAGACCACTGGGCTAGATGATGGCACTGGCCGCTGGACAGCTGCACCCTCCGTCACAGGGCACCGAGGGGCCGGGGGAGGCAGGTGCTCGGAGAAGGACCGCACGGCTCAGGAGAGCGCCGGGGCCCGCCACCCCGTCCGCCCGAAGCTCGGAGCGGGACGCGACTGGACAGCGGAGCGGGAAGGTCGACCGCCACCGAACCCATGCCCCCTACAGCCCCGAGGGCCGCTCGCTCGCGAGACCTCGGGGCCGCCGGCCGCCCCGCGCTCCCATGCCCGGGCCGCCCCGCCGCCACTCACCCCAGCGCCACCGCCGCCGCCACCGCCACCGCCGCCGCCGCCGGTCCCCGAGCCTGAGAAGAAACAGCGGCCGGCGCGCGCCAGGAGCGTCGTCACTTCCTGCTTTGGCGCCCGATGATGACGCACGAGAGTAGGGGCTGGGGAATTCCGACCCAGGACTCGGAGAGGAAACAGCTCCTGTCAGGCGTCAGGAGTGTCGCCACTTCCTGTGTCGGCGCATGCTGATGACGCACGGGGCAAGGCAACTTCCGGTCTAGGACTAGAGGCGAGGAAGTCCTCGCGTGCTGTGGCTCTGAGCGTCACGGGCTGGTGACGCAGGCGTCGTGGCGCCGTCCTGGGCGAGTCCTGCCCCGAGAGCGACACTGGTTTGGGTCTATCTCTTTGAGGCCGATAGGTGGACGGAGGCGACCGCACCCTTCGTGCGGCGCCACCGCCGGGCTTGTCTGCTCGAGGGGCGGCCGGGTTCGGCGACGCGCTGAGCGCTCTGTTGCGGAAGAGCTGCGTCCTCCCGCGGTTCCCGGGGGCCCCGGGGCCCGCGACGGACCACCGCGCCGCGCTGGTGCTAAGGCCACGCCACGCAGCGGAAACCTTCCGAGCCTGGGGAACGAGCGTCGGGGCTCGGGCTGCAGGAAGCCCCGCTCCAGCCTGTCCACGCGAGCAAATTTGGGATGATCAGACATTTTTCTGTCGTAACAACTTCTCTGCTCAGGGGTCCAGTCATTCGATTCACTCCCATTTTGGAATCGCAAATAAAGCCAGTTAAGAACTTTTGTTGTAATTTGGCGGGGAGAGTCAGTACTCCAGAACCTCGCACATGCTCGACAAGTGCTCTACCAGCTACATGCCCAGTCCTTTTTGTTATTTCGAGACAGGATCTTGCTAATTACTCAGCCTGGCAGGAATTTGTGATCCTCCTGCTTCATTTCCCGCCTTGGATGACACGTCTGCTCCATGGGCACCTGGCTGATTTTGTTTTGTTGTTTGGTACCAGAGATTGAGCCCAGAGGTGCTTAATCACTGAGCCGCATCCCACTTTTTAAAATTTATTTGGAAACATGGTCTTTCAAAGTTGCTTAAGACCTGAGAAAGGTCTTGCTAAGTTGCTAAGGTGATCCTCACCTCAGCCACCTGAGCTGCTGGGACTACAGGCGTTCAGTCACTGTGCCTGGCTCATAAGTTTGTTTGTTTGTTTTAATACTTTCATTTTTTTTTGAGAGAATTTTTTTAATATTTATTTTTTAGTTTTCAGTGGACACAACATCTTTATTTTTATGTGGTGTTGAGGATGGAACCCAGCCCCCACACATGCCAGGCGAGCACTTTACCACTGAGCCACAACCCTAGCCATAAGTTTTTTAAAAATCTTTATTATATTGACTTATTTTTATGTGGTGCTGAGGATAGAACCGAGTGCCTCATGTGTGTGAGGCAAGCGCTCTGCCACTGAGCCACAACCCCAGCCCTTATAATTTTGTTTTTTTAAACGTGTACAAAAATAGAGCAGGGAGAGAGCTTCACAGTGTGATGCTATTGCATTGTTCTTTTGAAAAGATGCTTTTCAAATCCATGGCCGGTTTTGTTTTTCAGGGTCCCTAAGTCTCACTCAGCCTACAGAATTCAGAACTTTCCTGGGAGACTTGCTAAAATGGGACTAGTGTTCCATATATCCATGTCAAGTTATGCTGTGGACTTTTTAAAAAGTCCAGCAACATCCTGAATCATTTTGAAGAGACGACTGAAGTTAGAGCCATGGATCTGAAAATGCAAAAATGCAGAAGACTAACAAGAAATAGACAAGGGCATAAAAAAAGTTGAGGGGTATTGGGATTCTTTCCCCCCTTGAATGAAATGTTTACTTCCCGAATTTTAGTTACCAGAGAGCCTTTATTTTTCCCCTCCCTCCCTGCCAGAAACTGGTGAAGGCAATAAGAAACCGAGTTTGATAATTTTGTTGGCATAAATGGAAGAGATACAAAGGAGAATGGAAGTGCACACTTGACATTGATCCCCCTTTTGCAGTACATGAGCCACTGACCATGGCTACCTTAGCTGCTTCATTTAGACAAAAGTAATCAGGAGGCATCCACAGGATTAATTACACAGTACCAATTTATTACCAGAGTGGAATTAACAGGGATTCACCTAAGTTATTTAAGAGAACCAAATTTTTTGAAAGCATTAATCTAGTCACATAAATACTGAAATTGGTGACACACAAAACAGCATAAACGTTTTGTATGATAGTTCTCCACAGTCTTGTTTGGTATAAAGCAAATGTAATTTGGCTCTGATGCAGGCAATTACTGATATGATTATCAAGTTTTTCAGCGTGGGAATGTCACCCTACTGTAGTCCTCTGGGATGGAGTCTACAATACCCTGAAGGCAGGAGCATATGTCTGCAAATAGTTTAGAAATTGCAAATGAGCTGAATGCACTTTTCCAGAAATGAAAACCAAAACCAAAAGACTTTTCAAACTGAATTTGGATGTCTGAGTAATGGTCCAGCAACTACCAAACCCAGAATCAAGAACCCCAGCAAAACAGGGAGAAATATCCCAGAGAGTGTGAAGTTGAAGTTTTCTGTACTGAGTTGCAGTTAGCAGCAACTCACAATCAGCATGATCTGAAGGATCTGCTCTTGGCTCCTTAGACAGGGCAGAAGAGCAGGGATGTTCCCATTTTTTAATTTAATAGGTGGAGGGTGTAGCCATGAGGTAGAGCATTTGCCTACCATGAGCTAGGCTCTGGGTTTGATCCCACATAAAAGAAGTTCCAACCAGGCAGTGAACATATTTTAAGAAGGAATGAAGCCCTTGGTAGAAAGCCCCACCCCCACAAAAAAATTGGGACTGGGGCTGTAGCTCAGTGGCAAAGTGCTTGCCTAGCATGCCTGAGGCACTGGGTTCAATCCTCAGCACCACATTAAAAAAAAAAAAAAAAGTAAAGGCATTCTGTCTATCTACAACTACAAAAAAAAATTTAAAAATTGATTTCTATGATAACATAGGTGCTTACTTTTTCCAACCCAGGGTAACAGTGTAAATACTTCCAGACCTTAGAAAGCACAATGCTTGGAGCTGGGCACAGTAGCACACACCTGTGACCACAGCAACTTAGCAGGCTGAGGCAAGAGGATGGCAAGTTTGAGGCTAGCTTGGGTGATTTAGTGACTCTCTCAAAAAATAAAAAGGGCTGGGCTGTAGCTTGGTGATGGAGTGCCCCAGCACCTAAACAAAACACACACGCCCATCGCTTGGACAGGTATAAAAGCTGCGGTGCCTCTGCTGTCCACTGACCCATTTTAGTGGTCATTCACAGGGAAGCTAAGCCCACAAGTTTCTGACAAGTATTTTAAGACATGCTACAAAGCAGCTCTATTTTGCTGATTTCTTTATGTAGCATTTTTTAAAACTGTCTCTGACTCACTGTTCATTTTTCAAAAATTAAAGACACATTTTGAATTGTGCAAGAGTGTTCTCAACTTCCCAGCAGGCAGACTCTTAATGCTGATATACAGAAAATTATGACTATCAGATTTTTTAAAAAGCATTTTATGCAGTTAGTAGTGGAGGTTTTCATTTTTCCCTTGTAGTGCTGTGGATGGAACCCAGGGCCTTGCATACCCTAGACAAGTGGTCGACCACTGAGCTACTCCCCAGCCCCCATGGAAGTTGTTTCAATATTTGAAATCTATACACCTCTAAGTATGGGTTAAGGAAGAAGCAGACACCCCACTGGGAAGGTCTGGTTGGTGTGCTGTTTACAAGGCACAGACCAAGGCCACAGGAGGAGTTACCAGCCCAGCAGCGGTCCAGCACCTGGGCTCCCACACCACATCTGTCATGGTTCCATAAAAGACTAGACAGACATAATAAGAGAGAATCGTCAGCACAGGGCCAAGCCAGGCCTTGGGTATGTCCTAGAAGTGCCAGGAGAAGTAGGAGTTGGTGCAAGACGGGAAGGAAGGTGGGTGTGGGTGAGGGCTTGGTGTTGGCCAAGCTAGGCTTCCACCATCTTCCTGCCCAGGATGCATGGAGGTCTCCAAAGCATCGTTACAGGAACTGCCTTGCTTGCTAGTGATTTAAGGAAATCAAAACAAGCTGAGCGCTGCTTTTGAAGCAGGAGGGGAGGGGTGAGTCACAACAGGCAACTTCCTAATTCCACAGGAGACAGCGCACCAGAAATTTGAAACAATACTCGGAAGCCAGGCGCCTGGACCTCTCAGCAAACTCAAAAGTGTCTGCCCCCCTCACTCTGTCAGAGCTTGGTAGCATGTGCTTGGGAGTGGACCAGGCCTTGGGGCAAATCAATCCAACAGCACCACCCAAATGCCACCTCCACCTCTTTTTCTTCAGTTTTGGGGGAAAGCAGAAGAGGAAGGAAACAGAACCCTGGGCAGAATCACACAGGAAAACATCTTCACAGTGGAGGTGACCCTGCGTGCAGGAGCACACAGCTGGCCCATCCTCGCACACAGGCCAGCTTCTTTAACAAGGCGGCTTGTGGATTAAAAGACCTCATTTTGATCCATCATCATGAAAAACCTTTTCAAGTAGGTGGAAAGAAATGAGGCATAATTATTGCTCTTTGTTTCTGGGAGTTTACTTCTGGGAGGAACTGTTTTCCTATTCCCCAGCTGAGAAACCAACTGAAAAACCAGTGAGCTGATGATGGTTGCCCCTAACCTGACGAGTGGTGAGGGGATAAGCCCGGGAACAGTGGGTGCCAGTGGCTGCAGCCCACAAGCACAAGCCCAAGCTCAGGGCACAGAGAGGTTTCAGACTGGCTGGCCAAAGAGTGCATGCACCCAGGTCAGACTCCAGCAGGACGAAGGGCAGAGCCAGTGCCAGCCTGACTGCAGCTCTAGTACCCAGTTGAGACTCAGTCCGCCCAGTGGCTGGGGCGCTACCATATCGTGGTCCCTCGGGGGCAGCCATGGCCATGTGCCTGGACATGGCCACCTGACACACCAGGTCCACAAGCCATGTGGCTGCAGCTTTGTTGGAAAGTCGAGTGTCACGCAGCATAACCTGAGTGCTAAGTGCTCTGCAAGGGCTCCCCTGCTCAGCTGCCCCCCGCGGAGTCCAGCAGGGCGGTCCAGCAGGAGATCAGGGACCTCAGAACAGCCTGATTCACACACATGAGTCTGAGATGTGAATGGAGCTAACCCCCCAAAGAGATCTGTCCTCAGCCTCCAGAATGAACAACCACCCCCCAGAGGTGAGGGGCTCAGTGCCAGGATGTGAAGGGTGAGGGGCACGGTGCCAGGCTGTGATGGGTGGCTTTTCCCCTCACAGAGCAATTCAGTGGACAATCCCTGTCACACGATGTTGTGGCTATGGGGTCAAATGGCAGCCATAGGGCCCTCCATGAGGACAGCTCTGAAGCAGAGAGAGGAGTCTAGCCCCCTCTCAGCAGCTGAGACCTCTGCTTAGGGACCTGTCCACCTGCTCAGGTCTGGCACCTGGGAAGGTAGCCCACAGGGGACACTGTGGCCAGCGTCTGTGGATGGCTGGGGACCAGGCAGCTTCGGGGCCTGTGGTGGCTGGTGTGGGAGCTGAGGTCTCTGTTGGCACCAGGCAGGGAGAAGCTCGTGTTGGCACTGGAGCCCGGGCACATGTGGCCCAGTAGTCCCTTCAGAGGTGGTGGGGTCTGGCCCAGCTGCAGCCTGGTCAGCCCGGGGGTGCAGGCTGGTCCCTCCTCCAGTGCTCAGCTGTCAGTGGAGTCTGTGTCCCACGAGCCTCTGGCCCTCAGCCCACTGTGTAATGCAGGGGGCAGCCCTGGCTGGTTTCCAGGGACCATGCAGCGGCAGGGGGAGCATGCAGCGCCCAGGCAGCCAGGGGCCTCCCATGTTCAGGGGTGAACATGCTGTCTGGGGTCCTGGGGACCCACTGGTTCTGTATCGTCCTCGGGGACCCAGCTGGTGGCTGTGGCCAGGCTCTGCATGACTTCCTGCTGGTGCTGCCTGGCCTTGTTGTAGAGCAGGACACCCACCATCACGAGAATGGTGCCGACGGCTGACAGGCTGGTGATCTTGTTGCCGAAGACGATGATGCTGAGCCAGATGGACAAGGCGTGCTTCACGGTGCTGGCGACGCTGTGGCAACAGGGCAGAGGCAGGGGACGCTCAGCCCAGGCCACGTGCAGCCGGCCTGGAGAGTCCCGTGGGCACCCCGGTGCAGCTGCACGGGGCCTGTGGGAGACAGGGCGAAACCCCGTCCCTCCTTCCTTCCCTCTTTCTCTGGGGTCACTTTTTGTTATGAAAAATGTCAAACAGAAAAGTGGAAAAACATGGCAGCCAACAGCCACATTCTCAGCAGCTAGATTTGGTGAATAGCTTTTTCTACATGTGCTTCTTTCTTTCTTTGTGTTGAGATATTTTAAAATAACTCATAGACACTGCACCATTTTGCCACTAAATACTTCAGCCTGTTCTCTAAAGAATGAGAGAAAGGGCCAGGCATGGTTGCACATGTCTGTGATCCCAGTGGCTAGGGAGGCTGAAGCACGAGGATCACGAGTTCAAAGCCAGCCTCAGCAACTTGACAAGGCTCTTAGCAACTCATGAGACCCTGTCTCTAAATAAAATACAAAAGAGGGATGCGGGTGTGGCTCAGTGGTTAAGTGCTTTGAGTTCAATCCCTGGTACCAAAAAAAAAAAAAAAAGTACCCAGAGTGGGTGCAGCTGAGGGGTGGGGCACTTGCCCTGCATGGGCCAGGCCCTGGCCACCACTCCCGGCACCACACGCAAAAGGGATCCCTGTTTGGTGCTGCACCTGCTACATCTCGAGTGCTCAGGAGCCAGGTGTGGCCAGCGGCTCCTGTGCTGGACAGCACAAAGGCAGAAGGTCCCACTGTCACAGACAGTGCCATTGGCTGCTCTGTTGAGAAAAACACTCAGCCAGTCCCCAAAACGTCTCTAATGTCAACTTCTAGTGGAAACCTGTGGGGACTCTGCTCTCAAGCTCACTGCACTTCACATGGTGCTGGTGCAGAACGGCCCAGCGACTGGGCACGGGGCACCAGGCGTCACCACAGAAGATGCCAGACTTCAGGTCTTCTCTGCAAAACACCAGGCACACTGTGCCTCTCGGGAAGTCTCTGCTTACCTGAACGTCACCGGGGAGATCTTCCCCATGAGGGCATATGCAGTGACACTCTGAAGGTGGAACAGGGCACCATCTGTCAGGAGCAGGATCAGCATGTCCTGGCTGTAGCTGAAGCTTGTCCCGCTCCTCCCCATCATGGGCACGTCCTAGGGCCAGAACCAAAGGCTGCTCTGCTGGCCCGCTAAGGAGGGCACACAGGAAGGTCCCTGCAGAACTGCCACACTCGGGATCCCCCGCAAGCACACAGACGCTGTCACGAGGGAGGACGGAACCACCTCACTTCTGTGAGGACAGCTACCGCCAAAAGCCAACCAAGCCAGAAAGTGCTGCAGGGGGTCTGGGGAAACAGGAACCTGCGCAACGGTGTGGTGGTGACCAGGGTGGCAGTCCCTCCAGGATTCAAACACAGGTCACTGCAGCATCCCGCAGTCCCACTGCTGGGCACATACCCAAAGAGCTGAAAGCAGGGCCTCCCAGGGAGACGTGTGACCGGAGTTCCCAGCAGCAGCACTCTCGGGGACCAAAACAGGACCAACTCGAGTGCCTACGGATGGTGAGTGGACAAACCAGAGCGGTCTGCCTACACTTGGGGAACACTCGGCCTTAAGGAGGAGCTAGGCTGGCACATGCCACATCAGAGAAGAACCTCAGAAAAGCTGTGCTGGGCGGCGGGCAACCTGGGGACAGAGCGCCCGTGGGTGTGTACGAGGCCTGGGTTCCATGCCCAGCACCACACATACAAAAAAGGTCGTGCTGACCAGACACAAAAGACAAGCACTGTGGATCCCACCAGCAGGAGCCCTCAGAGGAGTTGACTGCCCAGAGCCAGAGAGGAGGTGGTGGCGATGGGGCTGGGGAGGGAGGGGAGACAGGGCGCAGGTCTGGGCTGGAGAGGAAGTTCTGGGTGGGCTGTGTGATGGACACGGGGAACATGCTCTGCCTAGTGCCCCTGGACTTGACAGGATCGAGATAGGAAGCTCTTGTCCTGTGTGTTTCATCACGATAAAGAAATATGCAGACACGCAGCACGCTCCAGCTCTGACAAGGTGACCCAGGAAACGCCCTCGTGGGTGTACGGCACCCGGGTGGGAGAAACGCGCCACTGTTCCCAAAAGGAGAGGGCGGGAGGCAGCCAGGGCCCCCAGCTGGGCGTGTCCATGGTGGAGGGAAAGGTCTGCACAGGTGTGACGCGTGCATGGTGCGTGCGTTGGCACACGCGTGGACTCACACCACCACGCACAGGTAAGTGTGGAAGTGAGGCCAGGGAGGGCGGCTCGAGCTTCACTCCCAACACTGCCTGTTCTGCAGCAGGCATTTATCACTTGCTGCACACCTGTGATCCCAGTGACTTGGGAGGCTGATGCAGGAGGATGGCAAGTTCAAGGTCAACCCCCACAACGTAGTGAGAAAAGTAAAAAGGGATGGGAGTGCAGCTCAGTGGTAGAGAGCCCTGCGTTCAATCCCCAGCACTGCAAAAATTAAATACAGTTAAAAAAATAATTTACACAAATCTAAAAATCCTCACACAGATATCTCTGCAAGTTGCTGCAGCTGTGGGCAGCTCCTGTATGTACAGCCCACTCTAAAGCACATACCGCACAGCCATCGACTCGCAAAGGTAAGTCATTGTGTCAGGAATTGCCAGAGAGATGGGGCCCAGCTACAGTGGGATGCCCACTTCTAAAACCCACCATGAAGAAGATCCAGGCAGGGATCAGCATGGCCACGGCAGCAGCGCTGGTGTAGAACTGCAGCTCCGGGGCCCTGTGGGGACAGAAGACTCCTGACCTCCCCGTGCCTGGGGGCTGGGATTTCCCTGGGGATTTCACGAAAGAACACATCACAGTGCTGACACACAGTCGTGGACACCCATGGCTGCCCAGAACTGAGAAGGCAACAAGGACCAGGCTGGCTGTCAGACAGGCCTACAAGGAAGCTGAAGGGTCCTTTCCCTGAGTTTTCTTTTTCTCCTATTTTTTTTTGGGGGGGTGGGGTATCAGGGATTGAACTCATGGGAACTTGACCACTGAGCCACATCCCCAGCCCTATTTTGTATTTTATTTACAGACAGGGTCTCACTGAGTTGCTTAGCGCCTTGCCTCGCTGTTGCTGAGGCTGGCTTTCAACTCATGATACTCCTGTCTCAGCCTCCCGAGCCGCTAGGAGTACAGGCATGTGCCACCATGCCCGGCCTTCCCCTACTTTTTGACAAAATACTTTCAAAGCCCCCTAAGCCACAGGGGAAACATATCATGTCTTCCAGGAGCATCTGGAATCTTCCTTCTTGGCACTGGGGATTGAACCCAGGGGCACATAACCACTCCCTTGCCACATCCCCAGTCCTTTTTATATTTTATTTTGAGACAAGATCTCACTAAATTGCTGAGGCTAGAGTTTGAACTCTAGATCCTCCTGCTTCAGCCTCCCAAGTCACTAGGATCACAGGTGTGTGCCATCCTGTCCAACAGTATTTGGAAACTTAAATGGGCAAAAGTCCTCATGGGCCTTACAAAATCAGATGTCCCCCCTCTGTGATACTTACGAGAAACGGTATTTGTCCCCGCTGAGGAGCTTTTTTGAAAAAACATTCTGCAAACTAGAACAGAGAGAAGAGAAGGTTAAGGATGGAACTGAGTCGGCGTGGCCCTCAGGAGCAGGGGCTGGGCTTCCTGTTAGCAGTGACATTAATGGCCATGCCTGGTGGACAGCGCTGAGCACCTGCTGGGAGCAGGTGCCCCACCAGGGGTTCCAAGCATCTGCCTGCTGGGAGGTGGGCGCCATGCCGCCCGTCACGGGTGGGCAAGAGGAAGTACTCAGGGTCCTGTCTCGGGCTTCACAAAACCCTTCTTGGATAAAACTGCCACGAGTCACAGCCTGCCTCAGTCAGGCACCTGGGGCTCCCAGAGGCGGGCATGACTCAACAGACTTCACCTACATGGAGACCCTGTGGGAAAACACAGCCGGAGCTCACGAACACCGGGCTGTGGGGACACAGGACATGTGTCTTCGCCAGCACCCAGCACTCAGAACTCAGCACAGTGTGAGCTGTGACTAAACTACGCCAGCATCCTAGAGGACAGGCGATGTGAGCACTCACTGGCCCGCCACGGGCCCGGACTAGGGCTCGGGCTCGAGATTCTGTGACCGTGGCCCGAGCCCTTCCAGAGGTTCCCAGCTCCGCCAGGCAATCTGCCATCCAGGATGCTCCGAGGACAGCCAGAAACCAGGACTTCGAGCACAGGACCCAGCAGGTTGCCTGTGAACATGAAGTGCTGCCTGCGTGTGAACAAGAGGCCTTCCTGGAAATCAGGCTGTGGACACCCGATGCCATGATGCCCCTCCAACAAGCTGACAGAGACCTACCACACGCACAGGTGGTGCGGCCCTGGCATGCTCCTAGGACACAAACACAGTGCAAGAGAGTAGCAAGGGCTGTCAGGAGCTCAGGATGCAGCTCAGGTTGGAGCTCGGGTTGGGGCTCAGGATGCAGCTCAGGTTGGAGGTCAGGCGGAGCTCGGGATAGAGCTCGGGGTGGAGCCTGGGTGGAACATGGAACTCGGGGTGCAGCTCAGGGTGAGCACCCCAGTTCAACACCAGGACCAAAACAGAAAGATGATTCCTGTCTTTTAGAGGCAGCTGCACTATTCAGACTTGCCAGCTCTTCCCTGCTGTGAGAGGAGTGCCGACCTGCTCCTGCTCCTGGAAGCCCGGCTGCTTTTCCCTACCTCACTCAGAAATGAGAGGGACCCAGCAGTAGTCAGTAACCCTGAGAGAAGGTTTTGCAGGGCTGACAGCGGGTGGGGAACCAATCAAAATAGTGGCTGGAAGGCGTCCTGGCCTCTGCCTGCACAGGACCCCAGCACCACCGCACGCCTCCCAGGGCCTGGCTATGTGGCAGTTTCTTGCCACCAGAGGTAGCCTCTTTGCAGCTGAACGTGGACGGCCACTTAACCAGGAGAGCAGACGCACCTGTGAGCACCACCACGGCCCAGAGCCCGTGCGTGGCTCAGCCTGCGGCCTGGTGATTGTCGGCTTGAACAGCGTCTGAAGTAGGACTGCATCCTCAGGGTCAGGCTTGCTTCTGAGAAGAAGGTGCCTCACTGGGGACTTACCGCTTTGCTATTCAGGAAAAGGCACTGGGAGCCCTGCTGAGTCGCAGGAGTGACTCTGAGCCAGCCTGGGCTGGGCGTGAATACCCGTGAATCCAGGAGGAGGGCCAGCGCCATTTCCAGGCACCCCCATCCTGCACACCTTTAGTGACTCACCAGTCCATGATGTTGGTGGACAATGCAGCTGAGAAGCCCAGGATGTTGAAGCTCATCTCAGTGGCTGTGCACAGGGCCAGGCCTCCCATGACGGGGATGAGGGACAGGTTTACCAGCAGTCCTGAAGGGCAGGACGCACAGGTGACTGGCACAGATCCCTCCAAGGGCCCAGGCTCCTCCCACCCCCTCGGATGACAGGTGGGGCTTTCACTTTGACTCAAAAACAAATGCCACCAGCTCCTCAAGTCACAGGGAGACAAACCAAGAGGAAGCCCAAGTAAGGCCCACCCTGCAGCAGCCTGCACAGTGGGGCCCTCCTCTGTGTGGGGTGTATGCTGGGCCTCAGAGACCTGAGACCCACAGACACGCTCTGGCAACATGGAGAGTCATGGGAGGTCCCCAGGAACGACTGCCGTCCTAAGGTGAGCCAAGTGCTGAGGCTCAGGGGAGCATGGTGCAGCAACCCCAGGAAGCTCACCTAGGGCCCACTGGAGACCGGCCCCACCCCGGACACCCTGCTGCCGGTCTCTCCACCAGGCTGGGGCATGAGGCGCAGCGCCCTCTGACCTGCGAGCACCCTACTCCTGGTAGGCACAGGAGACTCCTAGTAGGCACTCATGACCACTAAGCAAACGTCGGGGAGGGGAGGCGAGGGGCTGGCACTTTGTGACCGCAGGGCTGTAGCTGCTCTGAGCTGGAGCACACTGCAGGGAGGACAAGACGGTGAGCCCGGCTCCAGGGCCACTCACCCGTGTACTCCCCCAGGATCATCCGAGACATGATCACGGTGAAAATAGGGGCAGAGCTCTTCACTGTCTCGGCAAAGGACACTGCCACGTTCTTCAGGCTGACCAGCCCCAGAACCACTGTTGCGAACCTAACAGCAAGCACGGGCATCCTCAGCACTGGCACTCTGGGTCAGACCAGCCTCGCCAGCACCATCCTGCCGGCCATGGCTTAGCACCCTGAGTGTGACTCCCTCAGGCTGCAGGATACCCGGGCAGCACCCTGGGAGAAGGCACCTTCCCTCCAGCTGATGCTAAACTGGTTCTTGACAAAGAATCTGGTGAGGACACAGGGCATGGAGATGCACAAACTGCCTCCTCAGGCCCAGGCCCGACACTCCCCAGCAGGGCCCCAGCCACCGCCGGCAGAAGCACTCCCACCATCAGTGGCCAGAGGCATCTCATGCCTGGAGTAACTGGACACTCGAGCGAGTGCCAGTCTTTACCTCATCAGGCCCACAAAGAGCATGGTCACGATGAAGTTGGGAGGGTAGGCCAGCCGGGGCTTGTGCTGGTGTAGGCAGCAGGGCAGGCACATCTTCACACACCCGATGACCGTGGTCGACAGCATCTGCACGGCACCTGAGGGGCGCGGGGGCCACGCTGACCACACTGCCCGCTGAGCCCTCCGCCCACATTCCCTCCCGGCCGGGCACTACCTAGCATGCTGGGCTCGCCCTCCAGCAGGGACAGGATGTACTTGTTGAGGAACAGCGTGCAGAAGCTGAGGAAGAACCAGAGCGACAGGTAGCTGAGGGCCCGCGGGCTCCACACGCCCAGGCCTGCCTCGAGGACTGTGGTCTCCGTGATGGTGACAGTGAGCAGGCTCTCCTCCGGGCTGCCCTCGCTCCTGGTGAAGGCCATCTTCTCGCTTCGGTGACCGAGAAGAGCGCCCCAGGCTAGAGCCGCCTGTCCCTTGGGCTCCTCTGCAGGGTCGGGAGCGCTCTCCGGAGCCTCGGGTTTGGTGGAAGATGACATGCTGGGGTCCTGCCCAGGAGAACCAGCTTATCTGGAGGGCGGGCAGCATAGGTCACGGCCACTGCCCAGGTGCGAGGATGCTGGCAGAGGAGAGGACGCCGTGGTCCCGGCTGGCACGAACATGGCCCCTGACACTGGCTCTCCCCAGCAGGGCGCGGAGGCAGAGGCTAGGCTGCTGAGGAAAGGAACTCGGTCACCACGAGAAGCCGAGCCAGAGCTGCCGGGGGCTGCACAGGGCACGAGCACTCAGGCTTGTCTTCAGATGGACCGAGAGTCCACTGCCCTAAAAAATGTGCCAACTCCAGGATCCTCCTGCCTGAAGCTGGCCACCCCCAGCTGACCCTCCTCTCCCTCACACAGCAGCTCTCGAGCAGGTCCTGAGGGCTGTGTCCACAGTGCAGGCCAGGCTGACCTGGGCCCTTCCTCTCCCACCCCACCCAGGGCCCTGCAGGCCTTGGTCACTGCAGTAGCTCAGCCTCAGTGGTCACCCTCCTCTGGGCTCGCCCTCCTTCCTGGCAGGAGACCAAGACCCTGCTGAGCTCCGTGGCCTCCAGGCTGAGGCTGCCCCTGCCTGTGCCCGTGCCCTGCCTCAGGCCTGTGCAGCCATGCTCACGCCAGATGGCCACTCCTACAGCTGTGGGCAGGGCCACATCTGCCCACCTTCTCCCTTGTGCCAGGGCGCTCTCCTAGTTCTTGCTCCATACAACCCTCGGTGACAAAGACCTGCTCCGTCACAAGGACCAAGGTCCCCCTTCCAAAGTAGACTCACACCTGAGTCCAGGGCCCCAGCCTGACAGAGCCCCTGGAGCAGACTCCTGGTCCTGGGTCCTGCCTCGACACCTGGCCACGCTCTTCTCTGGGCTCAGCTTTGCATTTAAAAGGGCGCCCTGCACCTTCCCTTGCTCTCCCAGTCACCCGGCCTGCAGCAGGGTGGCTCTGCTTGTCCCTGACCTCCCCAGGTCCACCTCGGGACAGCCCCACCCACACCTCACCTCATGGGTGAGTCCTAGGCTGCGGCCTCCCAAGGCCTCCCAGCTCCCTGCTCCTCCACCTGTGTGCTCCAGGCTCCCCAGTCAGCCGTGGAGACCGGCCCGACTCCCCACACTGTGACTGCGACCCTTCCCGCTCCTGGTGCAGGCCAAGGCTGGAGGCTCTGGGGTCAGCCCCCTCCCACAGTCCACCCATCTGTCCAGCCGGCTATTACTGTGCCAGCAACCGCAGCCTCTCTCAGCCACCCACGTGCGTGGGGTCCCGCTGCCCCAGGGTGAGGACGGCTCATCCAGTCCACGCTGAAATGCTGTCTCCTCATTGTCCCAGCACAGCAGCACCATCTGCCCTGGTGACCATGCTGGTGGCTCTCTCCGGGGCTCTGGCCTGAGATGGGGACACAGGGAGAGCTTGCTCTATCCCACCCTTCCTACCGGGTCCAGGGCTGGCTGGAGGTAGACCGGTCACCTTGCCATCATCCAATGCCCTGGGCACCCTGGGGGCTCCTTTCTGAAGCAGCTAAATAGCCCGTGGGACTAGCCAGCACAGCCCTCTCCAGATGGCTGCCCACGCGCCTTCACCAGCACACCATTGCCAGGGGGCTGTTTCCCAGCCCCTTGTGGGTGCCCCCTTCCACGGCAGACCCAGATCCTGATAAGGAGACCAAGCGGCACCCTGTCCCTCCGGCCTGGGACCTGTCACACAGGCACTGCCTGAGCTTGGGGGAACAACACCAGCTCCCACTGTCCCTGTTCTCTGCAAGGGAAGACGAGGTGCGTGGGCTTCCTGTCTGGCGACGGAACACAGTCTGCATTCAGAGCACAGGCCTCTCAGCTCACCCTTGGCTGAGCAGCTCCCTCTGCCAGGAAGGTCTCCCACGGTTCCTGCTGAGGAAGTCACGGCATTCCAGGCAAAGCTGCCACAGCAGCAGGTCATGCTGGCCCCAGAGCCCAGGGCCCTTGTCTCTGCTGAGGCCATGGGGCTGTGTGACATGGGCAGCGTCATCCAGGGCCAGAGGCAGCCTGACACCTGCCCTCCCACTGCTCACTGTGGTAGTGAGAAACCAAGGGCCCAGGGTGCCACCTGGGACGCTCTGTTCCTGGCCAAGGCCTCATACAGGAGCCAGACACATGGTCCCTTCACCTCACTACCGCAGCGTTCCCTGAGAACAGGCTGCTGTGCCACTCCTCCACCAGCCAGCACCTGGGCCACACCAGCACCCACAGGGTGAGCTCCCTGGCCATAGATGTGCACAGGAAGTCATCATACAGACCCCTTCTCCCATGCACCCGCTGCACGGCCTCAGTGCCCACTGTCTGCCCTGCTCCTGTGCCCACGCCGTCCTCTGCCCTGTCCTCTCCACTCCCAAAGGACACTGATATGGTGCGACCTCCTCCCGAGGCTGCAGTGGCCAGCAGAGAGGCCCACAGCACCTTGAGAACGCCCCCTCACTCGTGCTCAAGGGTGGACAGGCGGACAGCCACTATGCCGCGCCACCCCTGGCACCCAGGCCCTGTGCACATCGCTGCCCAGGGTAGCTGGCAGGACAGAAGCAAACAGATTCCAGAGACTCTGCTGGATGTGACCTTTCTAGCCAGAGCAGGTGACAGGAGCAACAGGCGAAAATCACCCAGGCACTTCCTAAGCCAGGTTTAGCAAGAGCCAGGCGGCCCTGGGAGGCGTGCTCCCCTGCCGTTAAGAAGGTCTGTCTGGAGCTCTGCGGGGTCACTCAGAGCAAAGACAACCAAAGAAGAAAACAGCCGAGTGTCTCAGCGGAGGAGCTGGCAACGTGCTTTCACAGCCGCAGGCCAGGAGGGAAGCCAGGGCCGGGGCTCCCCTGCCAGGAGCACGCCTGAGACTGAAGGGGCGACTCAAGGCTCAAGAGCAGTCGAGGTGCAGAAGTCCACAGGCCCAGGGCGTGATGGTTACACACCAGGGTTCCCATGAATCCCCTCAAGTCCAGCCACTCTGCCAGGACCGCTGTCAGATCTGGGAACACATCACCGTGGAAACACTGCCCGACAGATGAGAGGTGCAGGGTAAGGTGAGTGGCCCTGGGCCCAACCGCCTCTCTCCCGGCATGCCTGCTCAGCAACCCTGGAGGGACCGTCAGGTCTTCATGGTGCTTGATCTCCAGTGCGCACTTCCTGGAGGCCGAGGGGAGGCAGAGCTCCCTCTGATGCTCGACTTCTTGCCTGAGCCACTCAACGCACAAACTCCATTCCACCCAAAAGAGGCACCCGGCAAGTAACAGCATATTCCCATCACTCAGGAAATCCCAAAGGCTTTAAGAGTCCTGTGCCAGGAACTAAGGACAAAGACCAAAAATAATCTCAAGATTATCTCAGGCCCCAAAACAGCTGAAGTCCCGGGAGAACTGCAGGTGTGACTGCCAGCTGCCAGGATGCGGGACGGAGGGAGCACCTGGCAGCCCTTCCTGCAGACCCACTGCCCGGCCCTTGCTCCTGCTCCCTGGAGTTGAGACTGGCCTCCGCTGCCTGTGGAAGACCCCAGCAGAAAGGTGGGGTGTGCCAGTCCCTGGCTGCCTGCGTCCCTGCAGCTATAGCCTCCACAAACTGGCCTTGGCTTGCTTTGTAGGGCTCGCTCAAAACAGACCCCTGGAGCAAGGCTTGGGGACAAAAGTCTGCACCAAGGGGGCCGGGGCGGAGAGGGCAGCAGGAGCAGTGGAGGTGGTGGCCACTCCCTCCTTTCTGGGAAACAGCAGAGCAACCCAGTGGACAGGGCGATGCCCACAGCCGCTGTTCTTCAGGCTGAGTTCGGAGCTTCCGTGTCCTCCCAGGCAATGGGCCACAGTGCCACCCCCAGGGCAGGCGTGGACATTGTGGGACAGGCTCTCACTGCCTCCCTGTGTTCTGCTGTCCATATCCTGCAAATGCAGAGCTGGAACCCAGGGAGCCAATGGCCTGCGTTGTCCAGCTGCTAGGACACACGGCCGAGTGTGCACGTACCCAGGTCCACCTGTCCTCCCAGTGAGGCAGCCTGTGTGCTGCTGGCAGCAGCCGCGTGGCGAGACAAGCCCATCACTGGCCATCGGCCAGGTGGCACTCGGTGAATCTTGAGCTTCCCTCAGGGTCCAGGGCAGAGAGGAGCAGGTGGGGGACCTGGGCCTCTCAACAGACCCACCTGCTGCCCACCACATCTAGAGCCGGGCCAGGAGACCTCAGCTTCGGGACGCATGCTCACTCTCAGCCTGTCTTCAGGACAGCTGGGCTCTCACAGATGCCCACTCACCTACTATGCGCCATAGGTGCCACGAGGAGGGAGCAGGGCCAGGTGAGGGCCAGCAAGACCCACAGGCTTTACCCAGGCCGCTGTCCTCCCTGGAGGCCCTGGACAAGGGGGCTCTGCACCCACCTGGCCTCCCTTCCACCCCTGTGGCAGGAGCCTGCCGGAGCACCCTCAACACCAGTGTGGACATCTGCGACAGAATTCAAGGAGGCCGAGGCCCAGGCAGCTGAGGGCTCACTGCTCCAGAAGCCCAGGTCGTGGGGGAGATGAGGAGGGGAGGCAGCCGCAGACCCCTGGCAGGCAGAGGAGCCGCCTCTGGGGAGTGCGGCAGGACCAGGACCTGCCAGGGGCCTGGAACAGGGCGCCTGCACCTCCAGTGGCCTCCAGGGCCTCTTGGCAGAAACCAGCAGAGACGCAGAAAGAAATGAGCCCAGAGAGGAAGGAGGGAGAAGAGCGAAGGGAGAACCTCAGCTGCCATAGACCTGAGACAGCCTCGGCTAAGCCACACACCAGGGCCATGGACGCTAGTCAGAGAGGCAGAAGCAGCATCTCACCAGGTCTCACCAGGGAGCTCCTCAGCGACTGGGAGGCTCTGAGGCCCGTCACAGCTGAGAAGAAGCCAGGGAGCAGGAGGCGGGCAGAGCCCAGCTGGGGACCAGAGAGGCAGGAGCAAGTCCTCTTTGCTGAAACACTTCCGCTGTGGGGCCGGAGAACATTTAGATACAGATCAATGCTGAGGATCAAAGATCAAGGATCAGTAGCTACCAGGCCGCCAGCAGGGAGGAGCAGCTGCCTGCAGCCTTGGGGTGGACCCAGAGGCCTGAGGACAGCAGTCTCCACAGCCGCCAAACAGGACACCATCAGGCAGACAGACAAGCAGACAGAGCCATCAGGACTGACAGGTAGGGAAGAACCAAGCCCTTGCACAGAGCTTGGCAGTGGAGCCGCACTCTGCGAACCCTGTCCCCACAGAAACCAGGGCCTGCATCACCTGCAGGTGAAGGACAGGAACCTGTGGCCAGAGGCAAAGCTCCAGATGGGAGACCAAGGCTTGAGCTCCGTCCACCCCAGAAGGGGTCTTCCTGCACCATGGCAAACCTAACCCAGAGAGGTGTCAGGCAGGTCTGAAACACATAGGTGGCACGGTCCTGGCACCCACCCGGGGGGGACCCCAGGGGGCACCACAGCCTGTGGACTAGTCCACTACGCTGTGTTGGAGTTAACTCCCCACGGCAGACAGTCACACTGAGACCAAGTAAAATGTCAACGTTGAGGCAGACAGAGGGTGCACAGGAACACTCACATGGCTCTTCCTGAAGTCTGAACTTTTCTTAAGATACAAAGTTTGAAGTCTGGGTGTGGTGGCCCCATGCTCAGGAGGCTTAGGTAGACTGAGGCAGGAGGATGGCAAGTTTGAGGCCAGCCTCAACAACTGAGCAAGACCTTGTCTCAAAATAAAATATAAAAAGGGCTGGGGGTGTGAGTCAGTGGAAGAGGACCTCTGGGCTCAGTCCCCAGTGTTTAAAAAGAGAAACGAAACAAGAGACCATTTACTCTCTGAGTCCCTCTTGCTGTGCAGGCACACAGTGAAGAGGTGAAGATCAGTAGCTCCTCGTGGGGTGAGGGCAGGGGTCCCTTTCCACCTCCTCCTGGGGCAACCCCTTCGCTCAGGGTCTGGAAGCCAGGCCTGCACAGACCCCCTGCAGGGGGTATGGGGTCACCTCAGAGGCTGCCTACTCCAGCCTCACCCCAACAATCAGGGATGAAAAGTCAACCCCCTGAGACAGCACTTCAAGCCCACACTGACCAAAGTCAGTTCCAAAGTTTTTGCAAGGTGACATGGGGGGACGGCAGGCAGCAGAAGTGAACCTCAACAAGGTGTGAGTGACCGAAGGAAGGACACTCTTCCACCTGTGCCTGGCTCAGCCTGGGGCTTGGATCCCGCGCAGCACCCACTTGGGGAGGCCACAAGACCCCTGGGGGCTTGTCAGCCCCTCTCAGGCTACACGGGGTTGAGCCAGAGCTACAGTCTAGCAAAGCATGGAGTCCCCACTGGATTGGCCACCGTCCCTCTTGGCCTCCGTGACCCAATTCCTATTCTGCAAAGGACTGAGGTCAGCAGCCGTCTGGTACACAAATGCTGGAAGGGCGTGCATGGCCAACCTCACCTGGGGACAGAGCTGCTGGAGCTGGGGAGTGGGCGTGCTGCCCACCTGCTCGGGCCAGAAATGGAGGGGGTGGCTCCTGTCCCTCCCGCCCCAGCCGGAAGGATGTGTGCAGGCTGGGCTCACAGGGAGCAAGCTGCACATGCTGGGCTTCAAGGTCCCCGAGCTGCCAGCACTGCGTGCACCGGACCTGCTGGCCAGAGAACGTTCTGGCCAACATCTTCACTGTCCCTAGATTCCAGGCCATGGACCCAGTTCAGAAGCTGTTCTGGAGCAAAGCAGATGTCACCAGGTGTTCTGCCTGACTGGTCTCCATTTTTGGTGAGGGTGTCAGGGCACATCCACGCTTGACAACCCACACTCATGGGTTCAGAATCCTCACCTGAGTGGCTCCAGCCTCTGCCTGGCCTGGGGCTGCTTGCTAAGCTCTGGTCTCCCAAGTAGAAACTGGAAGCCCCCAGGAATACACACCAAGGAGTGCCCGAGGAACTCAAGCACAGAGTGCGGACAGATGTTGCCCGCCACCCTCGGCCGGGATGCCACGCTTCGGCACACAGCACCGTGCCGGCCGTGTCCAGCTCCAGCAGGGGGACACCAAGTCCATTTTTATTCCTTTTCTCTTCTACATTCTCTCATTTTTCTACACTGAAAATGGATAATGTTAATGTGAAAACCTTCCTATTTCCTCTTTTTGTTTTCTTCAGTACTGGGGACTGAACCCAGGGCATTCTACCACTGAGTTACACCCCCGACCGACCCTTTCTAAATTTTTACTTTTGAGATAGAGCCTTGCTGACTTGACCAGCTAGCCTTGAACTTGCCAACCTCCTGCCTCAACTCTCCCAGTCACTGGGATCACAGGCGTATACCACCATGCCCACCTTGCACTTCTCTCTTCATGTCCCTTTTAATGTTAGTAGTTTCATTCGGTGTTAAAATGTTATTTGCAGACTTATAAAGTACACTGAACTTGGGGGGAAAAGAACCTTTAAAAAAGCCACTGAACAAGAAATTCCTGTTTAAACAGTGGTGTTGTACATTTTGTTTACTCTTTTGTAGAAGCCTGCAAAGATGTTCCCTGCTCAGAGAACAAATTTGCGGGGAACTGCCTGTTTGTCAGAATGCCGGAAACACGACGGTTAAAGCAGACTCCCCGCGCGGACCCGCAGCTCTGGGCCTGGCTGGGGCGGGGCTGCCACCTCACAGGGCCCTGCCCTGCACCGCTGTTCCAGTTTCCCAGCGAGTTGCCCTCCCGACGGAGGAAGGGGCGACTTCGCGAGGCACATGCCACGGGGCCTTGGCCCCGGTTGGGCACCTCCCCACCCGCGTCCCCGGCCCCCAGTGTCCAGGTCCACCGGTGTGGTCCAGGTCCACCGCCCGACCAGTGTCCCGGGTTCCCGAGACCCCGCCCCCGCCCTGTGTCCCCGCCCGCCCTGTGTCACCGGCTCCTGAGACCCCGCCCCCCGCCCTACCTGTGTCCCCGGCACGCGTGGCCGCCGCAGGAGGGACCGAGGCCGCGTCTCCGCGCGGACGACCACAACGTGGTTGCGCGCGGGGCAGAGAGGACCGACCGGCGCGGGGCGCGGGGGCCGCCCGCCCGCAGGGGTCCCGGGCCAGGGCCGACGCGGGGCGGGCGGCGGCGGCGCGCTGTCATTCGTGCTGGCTCACGTGCTCGGCGGACACCGCCCGGGGGCGGCGGGCCGGACCCGCCCACCACCGCGGCCGGCCGGAGAGGGGGCGGCGCTCGTGGGCACCGCGACGCCTCGCGGGAGGGGCCCGCAGGCCCGGGCTGGAGCGGGGACAGGCCGCGGCGGGGGCCGGAGGTGACGCACAGGAAGCCGGCGCACTCCTCGCCACCCGGCGGGCGCCCGCCCCTCGGTGCCCCGCGCGCCTGGCCGGCCAGGAAGGCCGCGGCGGCACAGCCTCGCGGCCGCTGGGGCCGCCCTCGGAGCCACCCACCTCGCCCGGCGCGCGCTGGTGGGCCGAGCCTCGGAGGGCCCGCCCGGGGGCGTGGCTTCCGGGCCGTCCCGCGCCTGCGCGGCACCTGCGGTTCCGGGTTCCGCCGCGGGGCGGCCCAGCCGGCTGCGGTGTGCTCGGCGGCGGCGTCGCTGCAGGGCCAGAGGCTGAGTGTTATTGTGCGGTACTGGGGTTGAACCCGGGGTGCCCTTGTAGAGGCACTCTCTCCCCCACAGGAAATCGGAATTAAACTCCTCCAGAAGGCGTCTCCGTAACTGATCTTAGGACTCTCAGCAAGAGCCTCCGCAGGGGCTCAGGGTCCTGGAGCTTCCTGGCTCCTGTGGCCTCACCTGGCCCCCGGCCTGGGCGGTCGGCGCGCCAGGTGTGCAGCACCGCTTTACTGTTTCTTCACCGACATCTATGAACTATGGAGCACGTGTATGTGAAACAGTTTGTAAAGGCTTTCAAGGGAAGTGTGTCTGCAAATGCAGAGTGTGATAAGAAAAATAGGTTCTCTTAACTAGATCCCTGGCCTTGATGTTTACATATCAAAGATAATGTCACTAGCTGGCTCTGTGGTGACAGCTGGCAGGGTGAGGGAAGGAAAGGGGAGAAGACTCCCCTTCTCAGTCGCTGTCCTTGAAGGGTTAACATGCCCAGAACAGTAAAAAGAAAAAACTTTTTTTTGTGTGTGAACTTGACTGTGAACTTCTGAGCCTCTCCTTACACGCTGGGCATAAAGTTCTGAAACTGCCTGAACTTGGAGTTCAGGGGGATTAATTGATTACAGCAAAAGCTGTACCCTCTGAGCCTGGCCGCAGCCAAATAAAACTGATTCCTGCTATTTTCTGTGTCCTGCCTTGTCTCCTGAAACACTACCACTGAGCTACATCCCCAGCCCTTTGGGGGACATATTTCTTGGTTGGCCTCCAACTTGTGATACTCCTGCCCCAGCCTCCTAAGTCACTAGGATCACAGGGCAACTTTTAAAGTATTACACTTGTTTTTCGTTAGTTTAGTTTCTCCACCGTCATATAGCTAAGGGTCTGTTAAGGTCAGCCTCCTCTGTCTGATCTCGGGGTAGCTGCCCTAGTGTCTCCCACTCCCGTTGAGTGGGATTGTCCCCCCAGGGACATTAGGGGTAGGTGGAGGGGTAGCGGGTATTCAGGGAGTGGGTCAGGGCTTGGGCCTAAAAATGGAAACATTTTTAAATGAAAGAAGTAGAAGTGAAACTCTAGTGTTCACCTGAATGGGAACCCCAGCCTGGCACAGTGGCCAGGTCTGTGATCACAGCCAGGCTTTTACAGGGATTTGGGGAAGTATGTATATTTGGAGGCTGTGGCAGGGCCATCACAAATTCCAGGCCAGCAGGGTAACTTAGTGAGACCCTGTATCAAAATAAAAAATAAAAGGGTTGGGAGTGTAGCTTAGCGGTAAAGTGCGCTCGTTCAATCCAGAGTAACTACAAAACATAAAATGAAATAAGAAATAAGCCCGCACAGTGGCGCACACCGGTAATCCCAGAGGCTCAGGAGGCTGAGACAGGAGGATTGCGAGTTCAAAGCCTGCCTCCTCTAAGCAACTCAGTGAAACCCTCTCTCTAAGTAAAATACAAAATAGTTTACTGGGATGTGTCTGTGGTCGAGTGCCCTTGAGTTCAATCCCCGATACAAAAAAAAAAACGAACCACAGAACGAACAAGATATCAGTCTTCTCTTGCCTAACTTTGGCATCCAGAGGACTGCACAGGTCTTGGAATTGGCTAAGCCCCGGTCACATCTGAACAGAAATGCCTCCAAGAAGCCTCCAGATCTTTCACTAATGACTCTTAGGATATGGAACCGGCTTTTCAAGATTGGGCATGAGCAGGAGCCAGGGATGTCTGAGGAAGCGATACCCCAGAATTAATGCTTGGCACCCACTGGCTGTGGCCAGGAGAGCCGTCCCCCAATCCCTATACAGGGTTACTGCCGCAGCCCCTGCGAGGTGGCACATAGGCGAGAGCCCCCCACTTTCGCCCGTTGCCTGTCACTCTCAGCCCTCTCCAACACTCTGCCAGTCACTGGCCTCATGGATAGCCCAGAGCAGGACCTTTGCCAGCTACAATCAGGGCACAGCTTCTGGGGCAGAACTTCCTGGTTGGCACGAAGCCTACCGTGCTGGCAACCGCCCATCTGTCCCGGCTTTATTCAGCAAGCTGGCTGTACCTGGTAATTTCAAAAGCAAATTTGTAACAATATTGTAGAGATTTT